CAACACAAGATTGAATAAGGTAGCAGTGGTAATACAAGTCCCCATCTTTTTTTTTTTTTTATTAACATATTAGGTACATCTGCATTAGTGCAGCTACCCTAGACTATATGAAGTGGAGTACAGTGTGTCAAAAAAGCTAACTAGGTGATGCTAAAAAATCCCATCACACAGGATGGTTAGTCATACAGAGGCATGTGATAAGCGGTCTGCACTGGCAGACTCCGGATGCATTTTGAGGATATCAACAACACAAGATTGAATAAGGTAGCAGTGGTAATACAAGTCCCCATCTCGCAGGATGGTTAGTCATACAGAGTCATGTGTTTAATAGCCTGCACTGGCAAATTTTGGGTATACTGTGAGGATATCTTCAAGAATACGAGAGTGAATAAAGTAATTGCAAAGCTCCAGGTACCTCATGCCAACTGGTCTGAAAGGTCTAATAATTGGGCATTCAGTGATGTAGTGCGGGAAGATCATGCCGTAGTTCCTGCTCACAGAGTTTGCAAACTGGAGTGCTCAGGATTGGGAGACCCGTCCACCTGCAGCCACCTGCCACAGGTAACGGTAACCCAACCTGATCCTTGCAACCACTGTGTCGCACAGGTCTAGTGGACGTTTTGTGTGTGACGTTTTGTGCTGTCATAGATGAGGTTTCAGATCTGAACAAATCATAGCTTTTTATACTAGTACTTTCAGGTCGTTGGGAGTCAGTAAGTTCTTTCCTATCAGATCTGAATGTTTGGACCAATACAGTTTTGACAGCAGAGATAGGGATACCTAGATCTAATTCAACTTCAAACTTGTTACACGCTAATTTGGCTGCAATGTCTGTCTCATTATGATGGGTTATATTTATGTGTGAAGGTATCCATACAAAGGAAATTCGAGACCCTTTACTCTGTGCATCATTAGGTCATTTATAATTGGGAGTATGAGGTTCTTGCTGTCGATCTTCCAAAGAAGTTTTTCGATTGCTTGAAGAGCAGACTTTGAATCGCAGAATATTATTCCTCCATCTTTTTTTAATGTGCTGGTTGCTAAATGTAATGCTGCTAGTTCTGCTTGTGTGGAGGTCAGCCAGTTGTTTAGCCTGACACTGCAGACTTTGTGCAAATATTATTTCTATAGAACCTACATGCCGCTGCAGTCCGTCCAGTAAAGACTGGACTGAGCCGTCGGTGTAGACACAGTGCTCGTGAGATCTTAGACTCTCGATGGAGGAGGTCATGCATGTGTTAAAGTGATACAAGTCTAGGGACTTGCGGTGCCTGCGTTTCAGTGTCAATAATTTATTGACTGTTCAGTGTGACGTGTCGTAGCGATCGCCTACCGATGTGAGGATGTCTTAACCTACCTTCCTTCACTTGCTGGCTACGGCCAGCAAGTTTCCCCAGCCAGACATACCTGATCAACCAGGTTGTGATTCGTACGTCAGGCTACGTCGAGCAGCCGCGTCCAACAGCCTGGTTGACCAGTCCAGCAACGAAGAGGCCTGGTCGACGACCGGGCCGCGGGGACGCTACGCCCAGGAAGCACCTCAAGGTAACCTCAAGGTAAGGTACGGTATCTTTCCAACGGGAGATCCGCCGCAGCGCCTTCCCCCTCACACCCTCGGCCACAATGGCAACCATCTCAAGACATTCCTGCTGGGGTCCCTTGTACCAGACCTTGAGATGGTTACCTCGAGGTAATTTCGAGGCTTAGAGTCCCCGCGGCCCGGTCGTCGACCGTAACTTACAGCTTTGCCTTATTGTCGTAAATATGGAAAGCAGTATTACTAAATTATATAAATTATACTTTTCATCTAGCAGTACTGTCGAGCTCAAGCCATTGGTAGCATAGGTGTCGCCGGCTTTTAATTGCAGTACTGCAATATGATTGTTGATTTCTGATGGGTAATGACGCGAGTACTGTAGAGGAGTGTGGTGATGGCCTCTGTTGCATTGTTTGTGGGAGGGGGAAGTGGGTGGTTGTGAGGTGGAGAGTAGCTAATAGGAGAAGGGAGGGGGAAGAGAGAGAGGGGTTGTGGGATGGAAGGGGGTGGAGGAGAAAGGAGGGGGGGGGCTGGGTGAGGAGTGTGGCTAGAATAAGAGATGGGGGAGGAGAGGTGGGGGTGAGGGTGTGGTGAGGGAGGGCCACACACCAGTAAATGGGCAAAGTTTCTTTCACCCTAAGTGCCCCTGTTACCTAGCAGTAAATAGGTACCTGGGAGTTAGTCAGCTGTCACGGGCTGCACTGGGCTGCTTCCTGGGTGTGTGTGTGTGTGTGTGTGGTGTGGAAAAAGAAAAAAAAAAAAAAGAGAAAAAAAAGTAGTTAGTAAACAGTTGATTGACAGTTGAGAGGCGGGCCGAAAGAGCAAAGCTCAACCCCCGCAAAAAAACACAACTAGTAAACACAACTAGTAAACACACACACACACACACACACACACACACACACACACACACACACACACACACACACACACACACACACACACACACACACCTGTCACATCTATTCCTTCACAAGTCTATCTTCATCAACACGTCGTCTCCCTCACAGTGACATCTGGCCAGCGCTCAAGCGGTGCCCAAGTGCTTCTCAATGTTACGAACGTCCATAACAAAAGCGAACATCTCCAAAACACTCTAAACTTTTTGAGTGTTCTTAACTAATTTGAGAACATTTCTAGACAATTACCCGAGGAATTTGCCCGCGGCTCCGAGCGGTATTTGGCCGGCTTCTCGGTCAAGTTTCCCTCTCCATTATACGCGTTTTTAACCAAGCAGAGTCATTCTTAAATAGCCAAAGTTGCCGCAACAGCGTTCTTGTGGGTTGTAAATAGCTGAATAAAAGAGGCAGCGAGTGTAAAAGTTGGCCCGTATAGGCTTTTGTGGTGGGTAGGGGTGGCAGGCCTGTTGTGGTGGGTAGGGGTGGCAGGCCTGTTGTGGTGGGTAAGGGTGGTGGCAGGCCTGTTGTGGTGGGTAGGGGTGGTGGCAGGCCTGTTGTGGTGGGTAGGGGTGGCAGGCCTGTTGTGGTGGGTAGGGGTGGTGGCAGGCCTGTTGTGGTGGGTAGGGGTGGCAGGCCTGTTGTGGTGGGTAGGGGTGGTGGCAGGCCTGTTGTGGTGGGTAGGGGTGGCAGGCCTGTTGTGGTGGGTAGGGGTGGCAGGCCTGTTGTGGTGGGCGGGTGTTGGCAGCCCTGTTGTGGTGAGCGGGTGGTGGCAGCACTGTTGAGCGTAAGTGTTCACATTCACATAAACACTTACGACAGCCGTCAAAACACGATCGTGTCAGCTTGGTCGGTATTTATTAAACAGTTCACGACCCTCGGAAACGCTGCGAGGTCGTACTCGCTCGCCCCAAGGTTATTATTATTATGGATAATAACACGCCCTCCGACGCCCTACGACATCGTAGGGCGTCGGAGCTCGTAATCTGCTTAATAAGATCCAAAACAAAGCCGCCATTATTGAGGTACGATGTGCAGATCGATTTCCTGGATACGTAAGTTCTTGCTTACTGATTCCTCATCAGTAAATTTGTACACGTAAAATATGTTTAGATAAAGAAAAAGACGGTGTTTTTTTGTGTGTGAATTGATCTTAGGATCTCATTTCCTCGTGTGAATATTATAACGTTCTTTATGTTGATATTTTGACGGTGACGTCACACGTTCGCGCGTCAGAATCCATACTGAAGTCGGATTCAAAATGGTCGTCCCGCCTCGTTTCTTCAACAGAATGATGTCTTATATTTCCCAAATATTATTCCTTGGCGACACTGGAATTTGGGTCAAGTATTTTTTTTTAATTTGTGTTACTTCCTTTTTGGGTCTTTATTATGGGGATATTTTATTTTGATTTAATACGGTGTTATTATCAGTACTTATTATTCGTTGTTTCTACAGTTTGTGGTCCGTATTCAGTTGTTTTTTACTGGTACAGTTGTTTTTACTACCAGGGTTTTACTAATGTATATTAACACTTCAATTATTAAAAATAGTCTACACATTTTTAGATTGATTGGAAAACGTGTTCACTCCAGCCACACTTATCTTTATTATTATTATTATTATTATTATTATTATTATTATTATTATCGTTATTAGTATTATATTAGTATTTTAGTCAATAGCTCGGTCGGTAGAGCCTCGGCCTCACACACATGGGGTCCATGGTTCGAGTCTCCCAGAGTCCAGGTGAAATTATTATTATTATTAGTGATATTTGCACAATGAAATCACATTAACTTGGTGTATCAATGAGAAAATCATTAGTTTTGACCATGTCGTGGTGGAGTGGTGTTGGGCGTGTGCTTGGGAGTACCCGGTGTGCGGGTTCGAATCCTTCTCACGGCTCCTACTGATTTTTTCATTATTATATTATATTATTATTATTATTATTATTATTATTATTATTATTATATATTTGCTATTGCCAAACTGTATTCACCTGGTTGTTGTATTCACCTAGTTGTGCTTGAGGGGGGTTAAGCTCTGCTCTTTCGGCCCGCCTCTCGACAGGCAATCATTTTTTATTTTATTTTAAGCACACACACACCCAGGAAGCAGCCCGTAACAGCTGTCTAACTCCCAGGTACCTAATTACTGCTAGGTGAACAGGTGCATCAGGATGAAGGAAACTGCCCATTTGTTTCCGCCGGCTGCGGGGATCGAACCTCGGTCCCTAGGTCCACGAGTCTAGAGCGCTGTCCACTCAGCCGCAGGCTCCCGTGTGTGGGTGTGTTTGTGTGTGTACTCACCCAGGTTGTACTCACCTAGTTGTGCTTGCGGGGGTTGAGCTCTTTGGCCTTTGGCCTTTCAACTGTCAATTAACGCGTTACAGTTGTGAGTGCGTGCGAGTGTGTGTGTGTGGTTACTTGTTCTTACACTCTCTGGACCACAGAGTTCAGCCAACCACACTCACCCCCCTGTGTGTTCTCCCCCACTGACCTGACTCACCCCCTGTGTGTTCTCCCCCACTGACCTGACTCACCCCCCTGTGTGTTCTCCCCCAGCGTTCTCTCCCCCGCTGACGACGACGCTGGCCCGGCCGGCCAAGCCCGACGCCGGCAGCACCGAACTCACGCGCCTTCGGGACCTCAATAGACGATACGTCAACAAGATCGCTCCCAGAGGCTACTGGAACGCCCAGTTCGAAGTGAAGCAGCCCACGTTTATGAGGTAAGTGTGAGGTGGGGGGGGGGGTAGATTGGTAGGGATGTGAGGTGGGGTAGGTAGGATGACGAGTGAGGTAGGGAAGGTAGGCAGGTGAGAGAAGGGAGGGGGGGAATAGGTAGGAGTAGAGGGTGTTAGACTCCTACAACACGCACTATGCTGATTCTTATTCTGTAATTGTGACATTATTGTGCCTTTTATTGTTTAGGTGTAAGTGTAGACATGGTAAATTTTTTACCTCACAATCCCTCACAGCCTGGCCTCACAATCCCTCACAGCCTGGCCTCACAATCCCTCACAGCCTGGCCTCACAATCCCTCACAGCCTGGCCTCACAATCCCTCACAGCCTGGCCTCATAATCCCTCACAGCCTGGCCTCACAATCCCTCACAGACTGGCCTCACTGACGATGCTTTCCCCTACAGGTTCAACGTGACGGTGCCGAGGACGGCGCACCTGGCCATCTTCGGCAGGAGGAACGTGGCCCCGAGCATCACTCAGTACGACTTTGTCGAGTTCATCAAGAGCGGTCGGCCAGGGCGGGCCAAGCGCCAAGCCACATGGGTAAGTTGGGTATTGAGCCCGGTCAAGCACCACCCGGGGGCCAGAGGACCGTAGCGTCACTTATTAAGTGTTTTTATAGGCCTATACTATCACTCTGGGGGTCTACAGGTTTGGAGTACTATAGTTAATGTATTAATGATTGTCAGTATTGTTCTGTATGAATACCTTGACTCAAGATGTATACTTTTATACATATAAGGTCTATTAACTAACTACAAGTAGAGTGTCAGTAACAAGAGAGGTTAAGCTAAACATCATGTGTGAGTGTGTAAACTTTCCTAAAACATAAAACATCTTTGAAATGGAATATAGATTAATCTGAAAATAATTAAGGGAAATATAATATAAAATCTCCCTAATTATCTTGTACTAGGTGACTGCCGCCTCCCTGTCTCACACACACACACACACACACACACACACACACACACACACACACACACACACACATATAAACCTACCTGTATACTCACAGCGGATAACTGCCCATGAATAAACGCAACCGAACAAAATGTTCATGTTCAAATGTTCCCCTTAATCCGTGCCTGGCTGATGGCAATAACTCACCTCACTGTGTTATCCTGACGGACACACTAATCCATGCCTGGACGCATCCACTCAGCTGTCATAACCATACGGGGAGAGAGAGATGGATTACCCCCCCCCCCCCAGAGAGAGAGAGAGAGAGAGAGAGAGAGAGAGACTGAGAGAGAGAGAGAGAGAGAGAGAGAGAGAGAGAGAGAGAGAGAGAGAGAGAGAGAGAGAGAGAGAGAGAGAGAGAGAGAAAGAACTCTCTCTCTCTCTCTCTCTCGCTAGGATTGGTTCTCAACTCTCTATAACTATCTGTTCCACAGACCAAGTCGTTGAGCGAGGCGACGACCCTGGCACCCGAGGCGCTCCACGACGCGATCCAGGAGTACCCCTTCCTCCACGGCAACCACCTCGACCTCCACCACAACTTCAAGGACGACCTGCAACTCGACCACGCTCTCAAGGACGACCTCGACCACCTGCTTGAGACGGACACCGGGACGGAGGTAAAGAGAGAGGGGCTGAGCGAGAGAACAGATGTAGCCAGGTCTGGTGTCAGTGACACGTGTATCTGGTCAGATATGTTAGATCCATGACTGACTGTGGTGTGTTAATTGTATTGCGAATGATAGAATGTTCTACACAGTATAGGATCCGGCCTGCACACTGTAGGGTCTGGCCTGCACACTGTAGGGTCTGGCCTGCACACTGTAGGGTCCGGCCTGCACACTGTAGGGTCCGGCCTGCACACTGTAGGGTCCGGCCTGCACACTGGGTCCGGCCTCCGGCACACTGTAGGGTCCGGCCTGCACACTGTAGGGTCCGGCCTGCACACTGTAGGGTTCCCTTGCCTCCCTGGGGAAATAATTCCCTTGGGTCTCAGGGAAATAATGGCCTCCGAGGCGCGGGAATTAATTGAGGAGGAAACTATTGGGGAATGTTACCTGGAGCTTCCGGCTCGCCCGCAACTTAAATTAAGTTTAACACCAAAACTTTGTTAATACGTCTATGAGGAGGTGAGGCGTGTTCTTGCAGCTTACGGGGAGGAGGGGGAGGGGGGGGGGGGTCTTGTGAGCACCCTCCCTCCTTCTTGGCCTCTACGTCCCTCCTTCTCGGCTCTTCCCTCCCTCCTTCCTTCTTGGCCCCCTAACCATTTCTCCCTCATTTGAAGCCTACTCTTCCTCTTGGAAACCACGACTTATCCTGCCCTTCTTTCCACAGGAGTCGACGAGACTGGAGGCGCCGCTGGGGGAGGAGGAGGAGCCAGCGGTGCTGGAGGAGCCACTAGCCCTGCCTTCCGTCAGCCGCGTCAGGAGGTTTGTCCACGAGCACGGCGTCAACGTCAGCCTGGTGGAGTACCTTGACACGGGCACCTGGTACCTGGCCATCTACAACGATGGCATCGACTGGAAGCAGGTACGTCTCCGAGGTTGGGGCGTCTATGTGCGTTGATGGTACCATGGGGCCGTCGATGGTACCATGGGGCCGTCGATGGTACCACGGGACCGTCGATGCTACCATGGGGCCGTCGATGGTACCATGCGACCCTCGATGGTACCATGAGACCGTCGGTACAGTGCGTCTGTTTGAGGTACCAATCAAGAATTCTTGTGAGGTTGGGCACGTGGGCCGGGAGGGAGATGGACACATCAAGGGAAGTGTGGTGCAAAAAAACCTTCGCCGAATTCGTTTATATTAATTGACTCGTCGGCGTGTTGATGAGACCCGGGCGGGGCCGGGGACGTGAGTAGTGTCTCACCCCCACCTGTCGGAGGAGACTCACAGGCGAGTCACTGGACTATATATTTGACAGGAACTAAGGGAGCAGGTGTAGACAACTGGCTAGGCCCAAATATAGTTTCATGCAAGTAAGCAGCGTAGCTGGGCGCCAGTCAGGCCAGGTATACACAGACACGCTCAGTATAGTGCGTAGCAAATTAATGGTAGAAATTACTGACAAATATTGACACCTGTGCCAATCTCAAGTTGCAAATTGCAAATGAAATCGAGTTATTCTTGAGAGATACATCACACCGCTGAGGCCAGGATGACGGATACGCGCTCCCAAAACGGCCCTGATTACTTCATAACCAATTAGTTGTGTGTGTATACAGTTTATCTAAATTAAGTGTCGCATGTTGACGGCCTCGTATCAGGCCCAGTAGAGCGAGTAGATGTATACGGGGCGATAATATATCTACTTGTTAACCCACTGGTAGAGAGAGTGTGTGAAGGGAAGGGAACTATAAGGAGGGGGGGAAGCGCCAAGCCGCTATGACTATATAGCACTGGGAAGGGGTCAGGATAAGGATTTGGGATGGGGACGAGGGGAGGGGGAAGAAACCACTTGGAAGGTCGGGGATTGAACACCGACCTGCATGAAGCGAGATCGTCGCTCTACCGTTCATTCCTAGTGGTTGGGTGAGGTGTATGTGTGTGAGAGAGAGAGAGAGAGAGAGAGAGAGAGAGAGAGAGAGAGAGAGAGAGAGAGAGAGAGAGAGAGAGAGAGAGAGAGAGTGTGAGTGAGTGAGTGAGTGAGTGAGTGAGTGAGTGATAACGCAGCCCGTCCTCCAAAGGTTTCCCAACCTCAAGAAAATGTCGTACTAACGTGCCCTTATCCAAACTTACCAGAGGACCCAAAACAGAAAACGGGACAGTATGCCAATTTCGCGAGCCACTGCCATTTTCTAGTGCGCCAATTTTCCCCCCATAGGTAGAGTATACGTCAAAATGCGACGTTCTATTAGGCGGACGGGTTGACTAACATACACAAATAAACAAGAGTAGGGGGAGAGGTCGAGAATAAATATTAAAAGGGGGGAAGACAAGCAGGTAAGCAGACTGCATCTCTTGAGTGCCGTAAGGCTACGCTACGCTAGGTAAGGCTCGGAGAGGCAAATCTAGGGTAGGGGTAAGCTAGGTTAGGTGAGAATAGAATGGAATGGGATTGAGCAGTGACATGTTTACCGGTTCCCCGTTTTCTCTTCGACTTCGACTGTACGAGAGATCGATGTGGGAAGGTCAGTTGGCGGCTGAGGTCAGTCATACCCTTGACCGCCCAGGTGGCGGGCCGTCGGAGGCTACGATGACCTGACCCGCCTCTTCAAGTACTTGGCCATGTAGTTAAGTCATTTTTCTGATTTGATTGTTGTTACGGCTGATTGGTGCGGGTGTTTACATTCGCTCTCGGTGATTGTGCGCTAAGCTAGGGATTAATTGTTCGTTTGGAGGTAATGTTTTCTGTTTTGTAAATTCCTCCTACTGAACGTACTACATTGTTTATGCAAGTTTAAGCTGTGTAAAAATGGTTGTGGTTCGAGGGAATTACAAACACAGCAATATTGATGCAATCTAGGACTGCCACCACCACACCTACTACCACACCCACTACCACAACCACTACCACACCCACTACCACCATACCACAGCCACCTGGGTATCTGATCTCCGTCTCTCTCTCTCTCTCCCCGCCCACCACAGGTAGAGCTGCACCTGGCGGAGGAGCCAGACATGCAGTCTGCGTGTCCCAACGACTGCAGTAGTCACGGAGCGTGCGCCCTGGGCCGGTGTGAGTGCGTCCAGGGCTGGGTAGGTGACGACTGCTCCAAGAGTGAGTATTGCCTCTCCTGATGCCTCCCCTTCACTCCGGATTGTACTGGACCTTTAATGGTTATAGTAGTGTGTTGTACTGGACCTTTTAATGGTAGTGTGAGCTATGTAGTGGACCTTTTAATGGTAGTAGTGTCTTGTACTGGACCTTTTAATGGTAGTGTGAGCTTTGTACTGGACCTTTTAATGGTTGTAGTGTGTGTTGTACTGGACCTTTTAATGGTAGTGTGAGCTTTGTAGTGGACCTTTTAATGGTAGTAGTGTCTTGTACTGGACCCTTTAATGGTAGTAGTGTGTGTTGTACTGGACCTTTTAATAATAGTGGAGCCTTGTACAGGACCTTTTAATAGTAGTGTGTGTTGTACTGGACTTTTAATAGTAGTGTGTGTTGTACTGGACTTTTAATAGTAGTGTGTGTTGTACTGGACCTTTTAATAGTGTGTGTTGTACTGGACCTTTTAATAGTGTGTGTTGTACTGGACCTTTTAATAGTAGTGTTGTACTGGACCTTTAATAGTAGTGTGTGTTGTACTGGACCTTTTAATAGTGTGTGTTGTACTGGACCTTTTAATAGTAGTGTTGTACTGGACCTTTAATAGTAGTGTGTGTTGTACTGGACCTTTTTTAATAGTGTGTGTTGTACTGGACCTTTTAATAGTAGTGTTGTACTGGACCTTTAATAGTAGTGTGTGTTGTACTGGACCTTTTTTAATAGTGTGTGTTGTACTGGACCTTTTAATAGTACTGGACCTTTAATAGTGTTGTACTGGACCTTTAATAGTAGGACCTGTGTGTTGTACTGGACCTTTTAATAGTGTGTGTTGTACTGGACCTTTTAATAGTAGTGTTGTACTGGACCTTTAATAGTAGTGTGTGTTGTACTGGACCTTTTAATAGTAGTGTTGTACTGGACCTTTAATAGTAGTGTGTGTTGTACTGGACCTTTTAATAATAGTGTGTGCTTTTTACTGGACCTTTTAATAGTAGTGTGTGTTGTACTGGACCCTTAATAGTAGTGTGTGTTGTACTGGACCTTTTAATAGTAGTGGAGCCTTGTACTGGACCTTTTAATAATAGTGTGCCTTTTATTATTATTCCCCATGCTTTCTTCCCAAATATTTAAAAGGAAGTTGAAATATATTATAATGCGAGGAGGGTTGCTTTTGAAGCCAAAAAATATATATATAGTTATTCACGGAGGTCAGCTGTTTTTAGGCTCGCGAGAATATTCATTTAAATGTGGCCTTTTATTTTTATTTATTTTTTTTTTTTTGTTCCCGGAAATCGTTGAGTTGTTGATATCATGTACCAGCTTGGTGGTGATGAGGATAACCAGCTTGGTGATGAGGATAACCAGCTTGGTGATGAGGATAACCAGCTTGGTGATGAGGATAACCAGCTTGGTGATGAGGATAACCAGTTTGGTGATGAGGATAACCAGTTTGGTGATGAGGATAACCAAGTTGTGACAAGTTTGTTACGCTCTACTATCAAGCTAATCACCAATTCCGTTAACGTTATTAGCTTTGTTACACAATTCTCGGGCGGGAAAGCGTAGCTGACGACACAAAGCTGCATAAAGCTGACGACACATAAAGCTGGATAAAGCTGACGACACATAAAGCTGACGACACATAAAGCTGCATAAAGCTGACGACACATAAAGCTGGATAAAGCTGACGACACATAAAGCTGCATAAAGCTGACGACACATAAAGCTGCATAAAGCTGACGACACATAAAGCTGACGACACATAAAGCTGCATAAAGCTGACGACACATAAAGCTGCATAAAGCTGACGACACATAAAGCTGCATAAAGCTGACGACACATAAAGCTGCATAAAGCTGACAACACATAAAGCTGCAAATTAGCGTATACGGTAGACCAAGTTTTCAGGGGCGGGTTACCCGCGCGCCCCACCTGGTGTGGTGTTGGTGGTGAGCGGTGTGGTGTGTGAGGGTGACTTTGGTGGTGGTGGTGGTGGTGAAAGTTGTGGTGATGGTGGCTATTGTGGTGATGGTCAGCCCTGGTCACTAGTGGTGGTGGTGGTGGTGGTGGGTCTGGTCCCTGGTGTAGGTGGTGGTGGTGGTGGTGGGTCTGGTCCCTGGTGTAGGTGGTGGTGGTGGTGGTGGGTCTGGTCCCTGGTGTAGGTGGTGGTGGGTCTGGTCCCTGGTGTAGGTGGTGGTGGTGGGTCTGGTCCCTGGTGTAGGTGGTGGTGGTGGGTCTGGTCCCTGGTGTAGGTGGTGGTGGTGGTGGTGGGTCTGGTCCCTGGTGTAGGTGGTGGTGGGTCTGGTCCCTGGTGTAGGTGGTGGTGGTGGGTCTGGTCCCTGGTGTAGGTGGTGGTGGTGGGTCTGGTCCCTGGTGTAGGTGGTGGTGGTGGTGGTGGGTCTGGTCCCTGGTGTAGGTGGTGGTGGTGGTGGTGGGTCTGGTCCCTGGTGTAGGTGGTGGTGGGTCTGGTCCCTGGTGTAGGTGGTGGTGGTGGGTCTGGTCCCTGGTGTAGGTGGTGGTGGTGGGTCTGGTCCCTGGTGTAGGTGGTGGTGGTGGTGGTGGGTCTGGTCCCTGGTGTAGGTGGTGGTGGTGGTGGTGGGTCTGGTCCCTGGTGTAGGTGGTGGTGGTGGTGGTGGGCATGGTCTCTATGCCTGGAAATGAGGACTCGACAAGATGATCGAACAGTACAAGTCTGTGATGTGAATCCTATGGGTAGGACGTAGCTGCGTCTCGATGGTCGCGGCTCTGGCTTCGGACGATGTTTTTTTATTTCTGTGTATTTATTTATTTATATATACAAGAGTTGTTACGTTCTCATAAAGCCACCAGCACGCATAGCGTTTCGGACAGGTTCTTAAATCCTAATTTTCTCCCCTGAATAGGACCCGCCAAATCGTTTAGCAACCAGATACCCATTCACTGCTGGGTGAACAGAGGCGTCCAGTAAATCCTCGCATCAAGGATACGAACCCAGGCCAAAGAGCTCACGAAGCACCTGGCGGGTGTTTTACCACTGCGCCACGGGGACTGCCGTGACTTGTATGTCTGTTCTGTCGGAGGGAGAGGGAAGGGATTGGGATGGGGGAATGGGGAAGGGGGGAGGGGGACGTAATGGGGGCTTCCTAGAATTCCCTCGGAATGTTTACTGCCTTTGTGAATGATGCGCTTACTGGGTCGAGCTACAGCTCCCGGCACTGCCTTCCTGTCATTTATATGTTCAGTACCACGAGAGAATTGTTGTGGTCATCCTCTTTCTCTTACACTCCAATACATACCTTGCTCCTCCTGTTTCTCCTCCTCATTGTCCTCCTCCTCGTCCTCGTTCTCCTCCTCCTCCTCCTCCTCCGTCAATACTCGCCAAAAGTGGAGAAAAATGAAGTAAGGTGAAGGAGATGATCCTTTATTATTTATATTTGCAGGCGTGGACTGGCCGGCTTGGTAACGCTCTCCTGCTGCCTCGTGGCGGCCACCACCACAACCACCACCACCACCATCACCACCACCATCACCACCACCACCACCACCACCACCACCATCATCACCATCACCACGACCACCACAACCACCACTGCCACCACCATCGCCACCACAACCACCACCATCACCACCACCATCACCATTACCATCACCATCACCATCACTATCACGTGCACCACCACCACCACAACCACGTCCAACACCTCCACGTCCACCACCACCACCACAACCACAAATACCACAACTACTAAGACCACAACCATAATCATCACCACAACCATCACCACCAACACAACCATCACCACCACAATCATTACCTCCACCACAACCATCACCACAACCACCATCACCATATGACTGAAAATCGAAGCTGAGAGTAAAAGGATACTTGTCCTTAAGTGAAACGTTTGAGCTGTGTAAAGAACGGATGATTTTTCTGGTTTGGCTTAAATTTGTCTTGTGCAGTGGTGTTACCACTGGTGGTGGAACCAGTGGTAGCTGGCCAGGGGTGGGGACTTTTTTTTTTTTTTATTAATACATGAGGTACATCTGCATTAGTGCAGCTACCCTAGACTATATGAAGTGGAGTACAGTGTGTCAAAAAAGCTAACTAGGTGATGCTAAAAAATCCCCACCACACAGGATGGTTAGTCATACAGAGGCATGTGATAAGCGGTCTGCACTGGCAGACTCCGGATGCATTTTGAGGATAGACATGGCGAAGTGCTAGGAGCTTGCTCCACCTTTGCCGCGGATCGGCCCGGTATTGCAGTAATACAAGAGTGAATAAGGCCTGTACTAAAAGTCTACGCCTGATACGCCCCGGGTTTCAGTAACACAGGGCCAGAAAATTATCAGGAAAATAAACTGTCAAAACCAACTTCCCTTTCTTCCCCTCCTCGCCTCCCTCTCAAGTAGTTCATCTCCCAAGTTGAACAAGCAACTTTAGAGATGAACTCCCGATACTTGGTGCCATTAAGTTATGAACCAGATAACCTGGACTCCGAATGGAGGACGAGACTTAGGAACCTAGCGAACTGGAACCTTCAAGTGTAACGTTTGGAGGCCCTCGACCGCGGCGTGAGGCGCCACTCCGATAGCTAGCCGATAGATCTATTGAGGCTCCAATAGATCTTTGCTTGATCTATTATTCAGAGGGAAGCAGTCATGGTAGGAATCACAAGAGCCAGTAACCGCTGCTTCATGTTTTACGACATGATAATGGAGTTGAAGAGAGAGAGAGAGAGAGAGAGAGAGAGAGAGAGAGAGAGAGAGAGGGGGGGAAAATGGAGAAACAAAAATACAACTTGGACTTTCAGAAAGGGCCCTTCACAGGGATCAGGAACTACGTGAGATAAAGTGAATAGTACACTGACTGACTGACGTGAAGGTGATGGTGTCGCACACTGCTTCCAGATGTCCAGCGTCAGTATACAAACACGGTCATGCCAGCACCACGACGTCGACTATCCACTAGCCTTCTACGAGAAAGGGAAATTTACATTGTAATGTAAAATGGTGTATGTATATATATTGAGCCGTATTAGACCAGTCACGACCGATGTGGGTATTATACAGAGGTCAGCAGGACACGCCCGGTAATGGAGAATGTAGATGACCTCTGTGAGAAACTTAACCATTTTCAGGGTAGGAGCGAAACACACACACACACACACACACACACACACACACACACACACACACACACACACACACACACACACACACACACACACACACACACACACACACACACACACACACACAGGCGGGATCCAAGAGTCAATGCTCGATCCTGCAAGCACATATAGGTGAGTACACACATACACACACACACACACACAGATGCATGTTTACCTACCATCCAACACCCCCCCGTCCCCCCACCCCACCCCTCCTCCCGACCTCTCAGCATTACATCAAAACAGCGGCAGATTTTGTGTGTGTGTGAACGTGGGGGCGAGCGGCGGCCGGACATTACCGGTGAGCCCCAGCGTGGTGGCAGCGACACGTCTCCTGCTGGCGCCTCCACTCTCGACAATTACCCCGCGCACTCTAATGTCTTTCCCGCCCCCCCCCCTAGCCCTCCTAGCTTCTCGCGGCCTCCCCCCCTCCCCCTAGCCCTCCTAGCTTCTCGCGGCCTCTCTCCCTCCCCCTAGCCCTCCTAGCTTCTCGCGGCCTCCCCCTCCCCCTAGCTTCTCGCGGCCTCTCCCCCGCGCCCTAGCCCTCCTAGCTTCTCGCGGCCTCCGACTCCTCCTAGCCCTCCTAGCTTCTCGCGGCCTCCCCCTAGCCCTCCATGCTTCTCACGGCCTCCCCCGCCCCCTAGCCCTCCTAGCTTCTCGCGGCCTCCCCCGCCCTCTAGCCCTCCTAGCTTCTCGCGGCCTCCCCCCCTCCCCTAGCCCTCCTAGCTTCCCGTAGCCTCCCTTCTCCACTCTTTCTTGCACCGGTCGTGCTGGCGAGGCATCCTGATTGGTTTAGTGTGTTTGTTGGTGGTTGGTGGTGGGGTGGTTGGTGGTGGTGGTGGGGTGGTTGGTGGTGGGGTGGTTGGTGGTGGTGGGGTGGTTGGTGGTGTCGTTGCTGGGGGTGTAATAGCTTTAATATACGTTCCTACGATAGCTGGCCCTCCCCTCGTACTTTTCGTATTGTAATACAATAACTTATGCCCGTGGGTGTCTATATTGGGGGGGGGTCAAGGTGACCCTGATCCAGGCCACCTTACATGTTTCCTGACCTACACCTGACTTCTCCTCTCCCATACAAGCCACACCTGACCTCCTCTCCCATACAAGCCACACCTGACCTCCTCACTACACACTGTTACCCCTGGCATCCACCAAGCCAGCCTCCTCCTCCTCCTCCTTGAGGGAAAAACCCGCCAACTGACTGACTGTGCACCTCTCCCCCCGCACAGGCGTGTGTCCGGTGCTGTGCAGTAACCACGGGACGTACGGGGGCGGCCTGTGCCACTGTGAGGTCGGCTGGAAGGGACGTGAGTGCGACATCCCCGATACCGACTGCGTGGTGCCGGATTGTCATGGTCACGGAGCATGCGTTGAGGGCTCCTGCGTCTGTCAGCCCGGCTGGAAAGGCGACCACTGCCAGACTGGTGAGTTCTTTCACGTTTTTTCTTCTTGGTGTGTGTGTGTGTGTGTGTGTGTGTGTGTGTGTGTGTGTGTGTGTGTGTGCGTGTGTGTATGTGTGTGTGTCTGTGCGTGTGTGTGTTTATATAAATTTGGATTTCAGGGTGTAAGATTTAACACATTTTCGGCGTCTCCAATAACAATTGTTTTATTTATTTTATTGGTACATTATTATTAAAACATGAAAGTGGTGGAGGTAGACTCCACATGCTGAGCTTCGAATGTAGATGTGAGACGCCGCAGTAAAATGCTATGGAACCTGTACAGCAGTCGACGGAAGCTTTAGAAACTGGGTCCAACAGCCGAAACTCTACTAGGTGCACTCTAAAAGGTGCACCTAGGTTAGTACATAGACGCACGGATACACCCAGGCGACCTAACACGAAGCATATATATATATATATATATATATATATATATATATATATATATATATATATATATATATATATATAAAAAGTTTGTGAGGGTACCACCTCTGGTGCCAATGTGGGGACCCATAGCCTCGGAGAAGAAAATAAAAAGTATTCAGAGGAGACCTTGTGGTCTCTCACTGAACACTAATATTATCTTCTCCTACCACCCCCATTCTTTTGTATGTACATATATATATGTACACTTATATATATATATATATATATATATATATATATATATATATATATATATATATATATATATATATATATATATATATATATTGTTTGTAAGAGGATTGTTCAAAGGCAAATACTGGCCACTCAAAGTGCGTAACCCTAGGAAATGGAAAATAAATCACTCGGATGTCGAGAAAAATCTACACAGATGATTCTTGAAAGACTAGAGATAAAAGGCGTCTGGGGGGATGGGATGGGATGGGAGGGAGGGGGACATTGAGCGGTTTTCTATTCCAGCAGATGGCTGTGTATTGAGTGTGTTGCGGGAGTGTTGTGTGTGTGTGTTACTGTGTTGCGAGGACGGGAAGATCACACTTAGAGCAAGGGAGAAGCACCCTTGTGGTGGCTGGAGACTAGGGCTTCGAGCTGAGGCACGCGGTCACCCCGAGCACCTGGTTGAACGAGAGCGGTTGGGCACCCACTGGAGGCGTAATACAAAACTTGGAGTCATTACCGAAACTGGCCGACGTCACAGTTCCATTAGGCATCCGAACAAGCTGTTAATGAGTACACTAAATTAGGTAAAGCTCAAGGTATGGAAAAATAACTCGATTAATCTGCCTTGTAAATTCATAAAGATCAAATTTAAATGTAAAATATTAAATACAGATAAATTTTAATTCTAGGACGTTAGAGACGGAGGATAAAATGTGCAATTAAATATGAATGTCTATTTACTGGAAAAACATTTTCAATACACTACATTTAGTTCCTTAACTATCAAACGAATTGGAATCTATAAAGAAATAAATTTAGAAACTGATAAATAGAAGTGATAAAATAATAAAAAGTTTCTAATAAGAAGTGCCGGACCAGTGCCGGGGAGGGCCTCGTAGCCTGGTGGATAGCGCGCAGGACTCGTAATTCTGTGGCGCGGGTTCGATTCCCGCACGAGGCAGAAACAAATGGGCGAAGTTTCTTTTACCCTGAATGCCCCTGTTACCTAGCAGTTAATAGGTACCTGGGAGTTAGTCAGCTGTCACGGGCTGCTTCCTGGGGGTCGAGGACCGGGCCGCGGGGACACTAAAAAGAAGCCCCGAAATCATCTCAAGATAACCAACCAGGCGGCAGTGGATATGTGGGCCTGCGAGCTGCTCCAAGCAACAGCCTGTTGGACAAAGTTGTCACAAGTCGAGTAGAACAACTCGACTTGGTTAGTAGAAGAACTTCCGAAACCCTCCCCAGGTATGCTCCAGGATAAACTGCTATTTTATACATATTTACGAATCACCACTATAAAACCAGACAAGATATCACCCTGGATAGTGAAGAAATGAGCGGAGGACCTGTGGTGTCCACTCTGATATCAGTCTGGAGCCACGAGTGTGAGAGAGCTGTCGTATACCCCCACAATGTAGCTGACAAGACGAAGGAAACAGCCATTATATTAAAATAGATTATACATCTAAAGAATAGACTTAATAAAATACAGCTTTTATTTAAGATTGTCCAAATTCAGCATTTCGGATCTATTGAAGTTAGTTTCACACTATTAAAATTAGTTTTGAAATACGTGGATGGACGAGCTGCACTTATTTGGACTTCAACAAACCTTTTCCTCAAAGTTCCTCATCAAAGATCATTTTTAAATTGAAAAATGTGATATATATAGAAGTCACGTGGACGCCGAGACGTCACCTGTGGTAAGAGGAAACGTTTTGACATGGATGAAGTCACTAGTGGGGTCACCCACAGGGATCAGTATTGACCCCCAGCTGTCACTAGTGCCCCCCCCCCCTTCAGGGATCAGTTCTGACCCCTGCACATTCCTGAAACACATGTCAATAATCTCCCAGATGGCGCGAGAAATTACACGAACGGGTTCTAATGTAACAACGTTGAACAACGCAATTAGAATGACTTAGTTTATCCAAGACAGAGATCAAGGGGAGAATGAATCAATAAATGACTGAATTAAATACCGACAAACATTACACGCTGGAGACGTTGCCCTTAAGAAGATGTTGAGGACACTTGTAGTCCTTGTCAATAGAGTAGATTATATATTTAAGAAATACGAATCATGAGAAGGATAGAAGGTTTGGAGTCTGTGCAAACAGGACTTCACGAGATCAAGAGGAGACATGGTAACGACATACAAATTTGTCAAGAGGTGCAGTGCTACCGGCGGAGTTCTCTAGCTGTTGCAGCAGGTTGGTGCCAGCTGCCAGGTGTTGTCACACGCCCGCTGCATGCATTGTGGGCCCCAGGGACGTGGGGGTCCCTGGGCCGTGGGGGTCCCAGGGACGTGGGGGTCCCTGGGACGTGGGGGTCCCGTGGGCCGTGGGGGTCCCTGGGCCGTGGGGGTCCCTGGGCCGTGGGGGTCCCGTGGGCCGTGGGGGTCCCTGGGCCGTGGGGGTCCCTGGGCCGTGGGGTCCCTGGGCCGTGCGGGCCCCTGGGAGGTGCGGATCAGTGTGGGGTCAGTGTGCGAATGGTCAATAAGAGGAAGAAGACTAAAGAGGAAGCAGTGAAGGTGAAATACAAATTCAGCTTCAAACGTGTTGGAGAGTCCTTTGCCTCCTGCCCCCACCAGCTGTGAAGCCAGGGACCCTGAGCTGTAGTACGACCATATAGGCTACATGGTTAGTACAGAGAGAGAGAGAGAGAGAGAGAGAGAGAGAGAGAGAGAGAGAGAGAGAGAGAGAGAGAGAGAGAGAGAGAGAGAGAGAGAGTGAGAGTGAGTGAGTGAGTGAGTGAGTGAGTGAGTGAGTGAGTGAGTGAGTGAGTGAGTGAGTGAGTGAGTGAGTGAGTGAGTGAGTGAGTGAGAGTGAGAGAGAGTGGGAGAGGTAGGTGTCAAAAATGCGAAGAAGGTTGTAATCAGCGCGGTGTCTCTCCTAACACGCAGCCGACTGAAATAACAAGCCGGGCTGAGTTTCCTCTCTGTGTGTACCTAGCTCCCTGCCACCTCCTCCAGCGACACTCACACTCGCTGACACTCACACACACTCGCTGACACTCACACACTCCCTGACACTCACACACTCGCTGACACGTCAGTCTAACCCCGCTACATCTCTCCTAAACTTGGAGATTTACGCGAATATTTATGTGTAGGCGCTTAAGGAGTTTTGGATCACGGCACCGAGGGCTGAACCTCTCGGCTCAGAATGCTCAATATCTTGAGAAACATCGGCCAAGGTGTGAAGTGAAGACTGCCACATCTTGACATAGAACTTGGAGAACTTAGAACATAGAAGTAGAACATAGAACATTGAAGTAAAGAAGCGTTTGAGTGAAATGTAAGCGAGTTGCTTGAGAAGCTGTAATGTTCATGTAGGTGGCTGGTAGCGGGGTGTGGCTGTTAGCGGGGTGTGGCTGGTAGCCGGGTGTGGGTGGTAGCCGGGTGTGGCTGGTAGCCGGGTGTGGCTGGTAGCCGGGTGTGGCTGGTAGCCGGGTGTGGCTGGTAGCCGGGTGTGGCTGGTAGCCGGGTGTGGCCGAGAGCCAGAAGTTGCCTTAAGGTTTACGACTAGCTTCGTTTTGTTTTATTTCTCGCCTTAATGTGCTGTCTGCTCCTGTGTCTGTCTGTCTGTCTGTCTGTCTGTCTGTCTGTCTGTCTGTCTGTCTGTCTGTCTGGACGAGTTGCTGGAGTAATATGCTTGTGTGTCAGTGGATGAGTACACTTGTGAGTGTATATCAATGACTTCTGAGTGTATTTGTCTGTGGAGGGGATGTACATGTGGGTGTGTTAAATGTGGGTAGGTGGGTGTATTGGCGGGTGTATGGGTCTGGGTGTACAGGACTCCGTGGCACTGCTAAGAGCCGGAGAACAAGGAGTGCCTCCGACCAGACCCATCGCAGACGGCCCTGTTAGTCTCCTTCGATAGTTTGGGTTAACTACAGTCACGAACCCTGTTCTTCTCCGTGACAATATCTTCGTAAAGGTTCGAGAGAAATGTATGTGGAATGTGGTTGAAGCATCACTGTAGTGGAGATGAATGCCAGGACTGATCTGTGTGTGTGGGGGAATTTGTCGTATGACACGTGAGTGGGGGAGGGAGAGGGCCAGGCACGTGAGGAGAGGGCCAGGCACGTGAGGGGGAGGGCCAGGCACGTGAGGAGAGGGCCAGGCACGTGAGTGGAGGGCCAGGCACGTGAGTGGAGGGCCAGGCACGTGAAGGGAGGAGGAGGAGGCAGGCACTCACAGATAATTCCGCAGCAGTGAAGGCAATTGTGGTTCGGTGAGTTGTAATTAAAGAACATTGGTGAGATATGTCGTGGTGGGTAACTGTGAGCAGTGTGGAGTTGTGGTTGTGGTGGTTGTGGGTGATATGGTGGGGAGGTTGTGGTGGTTATATGATGGTGTGGTTGTTGTTGGTCTTGTGGTTGTGTTGATGGTGGTTAACTTGCAAGTACTTGTTATATAGGTGTGGTGGAGTGCATGGTGGTAGTTTGTGTGCAGGTGGTTATGTGGGAGATGATTATGTTTGCTGGTGGATGGCAGTAGTTGTGGTAGTGGTAGTCGAGGCGTTGGGTGGTATCTGAAGCAGGTTAGTTTGGACCAGTACTGGTGGTGGTGGTGGTGGTGGCAGGTTCTGATGGCAGGCTGCTGAGACTACACACTCAGATCACTGTGCTCTGAACCACTCAGAATGAACACCTTTAACACCAGTATAATGGTCCAGTGAAACACACACACACACACACACACACACACACACACACACACACACACACACACACACACACACACACACACACACACACACACACACACACACACACACACACACACACACACACACACACACACACACACACACACACACACACACGAAAAAAATTAGTAGTAGAAACAGTTGATTGACAGTTGAGAGGCGGGTCGAAAGATCAGAGCTCAACCCCCGCAAGCACAACTGGCTGAATACACATATAGTTCTCTACATGTTTGAATACTTCACAAATCAATTTACGAATTTGTTGTCTATTTTTGTCTGATTCTTCGTCCAAGTTTGTGATCCTTGTCTTAAGAACGCCTAATCGCGCTCACTAAGACGTCGAAATACTTACGTTTGAATGAATTTGTAGGCCTAGTTCATGGACCAGGAATATGCCTATATAATTAATGATGATAATAATAATAATAATGATGATTATATTACTTTTAAATTATTATTAACTTGATAATTTTCCGCTTTTTCATTTTGTTTTATATATTTCAATTTTAATTAATCGATTTTTTGCACCTTAATTTTAGGAAAGGATTTTTCATCTCGAGTGGAAGGTTGGTGTTGTGTTCCACACCATAGGGTTGTATTCTTGCGTGTATTTCAGCTGTATTATTGTGTCTTGTATATATAATATTTTGTGAGCTTGTTGGCCGTATGCGGCTTGTATAACAGTATTTCTGCACTATGTTCATGTATTATGATATAGTTACTTGTATTGTATTATAAAAATTGTATATTGTATTTTGCATCTACATACCCATAACACGTATTTTAATACTACAGTAGTCTATGTATGGTGATTCAGTAAAAGAAGTCAGTAGGGTGGTGTTGGTAATACTTCTAGGCCATGTATATATATATATATATATATATATATATATATATATATATATATATATATATATATATATACATATATATATATATATATATATATATATATATATATATATATATATATATATATATATATATATATATATATATATACACACACACACCTAGGCTGTGGGCATTAGATCTCACCACGCTACAGGAATATGGAGGATCAGGAGAGACATGATAACGACATTAAAGATTCTAAAGAGAATTGACCAAGAAGACACAAGAGGGAAAATATCCACAAAAAAAGGTGACGGGTAGCACAACATGGGACACATAGATACCAATGAGCCACAGACCCTCTGTGTCTGTAAGACTTAAGACATAACGAGGAATATAATGGATACAGAAGTGGCCGAGGCTGACACAGGATACATGACATAGGTAGAACACAGGACACATGACACAGCGGGCACTGTAGATGTGATACATACTTGAAGCGTGATGTTGAACTGGAAGTAGGAAAATCAATGTAGGGATTAGGGAGTCTCCTCTTATGTTCCTTCCTGCCTTACTTCCCCCAATCCCCCATCCCAAAGCCTTATCCTGATCCCTTCCAAGTGCTACACAGTCGTAATGGCTTGGCGGTGTCTCCTGATAGTTCCCTTCCCTCCTCTCTCTCTTTTGCTCTTCTCCTTCCTCTCTCTCCTGCTCTTCCTCCTGCTCTCCCCCCCACCTTCAGGTGTCGCTTCTGAAGACTGATATTCACCAAGTTACTGAGTGTGTGTGTTTGTGTTTGCGTGTGTTTTTGTATGCGCGTGCAAATGTTTGTGTGCACGTGTGTTTGTGCGTGTATGTACTAGTGTGTGTGTGTGTGTGTGTGTGTGCGCGCGCGAGTATATAAGTGTGAACGAGTGCGTGTGTGAGTGTGTGTGGGGAGTGTGTGTGGGGAGTGTGTGTGGGAGTGTGTGTGGGGAGTGTGTGTGGGAGTGCGTCATGCACAAGCAACACGGAGGCCCTCAACTCCTCTCACCCTTCACAAACAAAAAAACTTCCGATACATCGAGGCTCCATAAAAGGACAGACACGCAGCACACATCTTTATCATCGTCTCCCCAATACCTGAGAGAGAGAGAGAGAGAGAGAGAGAGAGAGAGAGAGAGAGAGAGAGAGAGAGAGAGAGAGAGAGAGAGAGAGAGAGAGAGAGAGAGAGAGAGAGAGAGAGAGAGAGAGAGAGAGAGAGACAGAGACAGAGAGACAGAGTTAGAGATCTACTCTACCAACGAATTCCTCTTAACTTCTCTCTCTCTCTCTCTCTCTCTCTCTCATAACCTAAGTGAGAGCCTTTTGAGTGTGGCCTTTCAAAGAAACAGATTTTCCTCTCTGTGTTTCCCGCACTACTCTGGAAGACGACAAGAACCTACAAGATGACCTGGAGTATATCAAGCTGCGGGTCAAAGAGTGGTCTTCAAGCCAAAGCCAGTGCCAAACAGGAGGGGAAACTCTCATGCTTTCAGACTGAGAACAGCATTAGCGTGAAGTTCTTATCTCACCAAGCACAAAAAAAACCCAAGCTGGAAAAGATCCAAGAGCTGAGAGAGATGAGTTAGGAGGATTAACGCAGAGAGCTAAACTTCACGACACTTGAAGGTAGAAGAAATCATGGGAGATATGATCCCCACCTCCAAAATTCTCAAGGGAATGGATGTAGCAGATACAGTCATGTCGTTGACGACCAAAAGTGCACAGGGGAAAGAAGAACACCCGAGAGAGGCTGTGGAGTTCAAGTTCAAGTGTGTTTATTGAGACAAGAAAGAAATACATCTCAAAAGGATAGAGTAGCTTAGGCTATTTCTTGTACCCGAGCACAGCCTTACATACATTAGGTAAACAAAATCAGTATCACTTTAGTAAATACAAGGAAAACTTCATACACAGCTTCAGGTGGTGGAGGAAGACTCCGTACACAGCTTCAGGTGGTGGAGGAAGACTCCATTCACAGCCTCAAATGTAGATATAGCAGAGGCAAATAGCCTGAGAGACCTGTACATTATAGTCTTCTTAAAGTTGAGAGCCAGGCAGTACCAGAGCACTCAAGCTCTACCTCTTCCCCCCTACAAAAAACAGTTAAAGGTATTGCAACTAGGACAGTACACACATGGTACCAGAACACACGTAGTGTAGGTGTATGACTGTGTGCTCCTTCAACCATATATCTGGGCTGCTAGACCTCTTCACGGTGCCTAGCACCCACCTCCTCCCAACATGAGGGAGACAACACCTGCCTGTCTCCCTCACGCTGGTCGGCGACGATATATATTCCTGCACGAGTAACCTATCACTCTTTTTGTCCCTCCTTCAATGTATCTGTCATGTGACGATCGTTGTTCCTCCACAGTGGATTGTGTGGAGCCGTTGTGTGGAGGGCGCGGGTGGTGCGTGGAGGGTCGGTGCGTGTGTCGAGCCGGGTGGACCGGTAACAACTGCTCCACCGTGGACCACAAGGTCTTCACCTGTCTTCCGGACTGCTCCTCCCACGGCCACTACGACCTCCACACCTCCGCCTGCGTCTGCGACACCTTCTGGACCGGCCCCGACTGCGCGGAAGGTTAGTCTCTTGCGTCGCTCTGAGAAGGGCGACGTTGTGTTGAT